CCCCCTCGTTGCCCCTGAGTTAGAACCCGCCTATATACCCTACTGGTGGCTCTGAACGGAAGCGTGAGATGCCACAAACCCGATGTCGCGGCACAACGCTTATCCATACCTCCAACCGTCCCCGCCAATCGTGTGGTCGCGTTAGCCGTGCTACTGGATGATGGTTGGCCCGCACTACTACACTCACCGAGGCTACCGCGAGTACTTGGACCCGCCCCATCCACCGCAAGAGATACATGGCACTTGGTGAAATGGGCCTTAACATCCGTATATAGATATTTTCCTTTAGGTTCATAATTGCATTCAGAACATTTATAGCTTATTGTGTCTCCCGGGTAATATTTTTTAAGATGTTTGGATAGATACGGCAAGTCGCTGTATTCGCTCTTTACTTTTCCTACTCCCTCATCACCGAAACATTTAGCGCACTTAAGGCACCTTACCTTAGGGGGCAGTAGATATTCGATATAATGTACTTGTGGATCCGTCATAACGAGTGCGCAGCGAGCTTAATTGCTGTTAAATTAAAGGGGCCTCTGGATGACTTGGCCCCTCGACCAATCACGGAGGACCGCGATTGGCCGACTCGTATCGACCAATCAAATGCTGGCGAAAATTGGAAGTCTATTGAACTTTAATAATTACTATGCGCACTCGTCACAACGAATAGTCACACTGAGCGAATACAGCACAATAACGAAAAATAAAGTCAAAATTAATAATTAATTGCACTCACGGCCCTAAATTCACAAATAATATCACTTTAACTCTAATGTACGTGACTGTCAGGTTTTACGAACAAGTACCAATGAATATGATTTTTGGAATGTACACAAAGAGATGATTTTAATAACGTACTCCCGACCGCGATGGTTTTAAGAACTTTACGAACAACGGACTTATGATCACAGCACACACTCTTGCATAACGCATAATATATAGTGTATAATGGAATCAACCAATCGAAATTCTTTTTTTCCATGGAATGAGAGGAAAGGAAAGCTTCTGATTAGTTGATTCGCTTAAATGCAATATGCGTTATGCGTTATGCAAAAGCTTGTTTCTGGGCTCTTAAGGGCTTCACACATGAAACGCATAACAGAGCATAAACATAACATAAGGCCGCTAAACCAATGAGCATCTTATGTAAATCAATATGGCAACATTATGCTAGATGCTCATTGGTCCAGCAGTCTTATGTTATGCTTATGCTCTGTTATGCATTTCATGTGTGAGAGCCCTTAAGCGGGGAGCACAGACTCTTGCATAACGCATAATACATAATGCATAAGGAAATGAACCAATCAAAGTCTTTTATTTCCTTCTTTTCCATGAAATAAAGGACACTGATTGGTTGATTTTCTTATGCCTCATGTTTTATGCGTTATGCAAAAGTTTGTGCTACCCGCTTTAGAGAAATTTTTGCGATCAAGTTTCGTCAGACTTGAGACCACTCGGGCGGATCGGACGTGTTCCCTCTCGTCTCGGGTGTTGCGTCACCTCGACTATATTTTTGAAAAGCGTTGCCGGCTTGAACTGTGCCGTTGTATTTCAATTTCGGTAGTCCCTTTATCCGTCTCGGCGCGCGGCGTGCGGCGTGGAAGCGTCGTAGCCGCAGGCGTCCAGTGTTTGAAGGGGCTCCTCACCATTTTGATTGCATCATCCTTTGTTTTACTCGCCCGGTTCGAGGTGGCCGGTGCATCCCATTCCCAATTACGATTCGTTCAATTTACGCAGACCTCAATGGCCCAGTACCAGCTTGCGTAGGCCAATAACAAGAAAAAGAAGATTTTCGCGATCGCATGACAGCCACGTACATGCACTCCTAACCTCATTTCGCGGCACGTATAAAGTGTCAACGGAAATCATTTCTCGGCAAAATCGCGAACACTCACACTCGATTAATAACTAGACATATATGTATCACGACACCAATAGACACATATACAGGATGACCCATTTTTACTAATATAACATAAAGGCATGTGACAGAGTAGTTGCGAGAAAATTATCCCCACTCCTTCTATTTTTTCTGACTTCCGCGGCGTAAATCCCAGCGCGGCGTATATACCGAAGTTACCCTATTCTAAGGCCCGTATTCAGAACACGCTTACAATGATGTTAGCGCCCTAACATACTATACTTTACGTCACGTATATTATAGAATTTCAGAGATAAATATGCGCTTTTATCGATAAAAGCGCGTTCTAAATACGGTTTATTCCTTGCGGATGGAACTTAGCCACGCGCGGATCGAGAGCGAAAATTTACAAGTATCGCGAAGCGTCGTGCTTACCGCTATGCTGGGAAAGTATATCAAATATACGCGTGACAAGTGTACTGATCTCAGAAATTGATCAGAATGATCAACCTGTAGTCCTTGTGTCATCGGTTTATATATTTACGAGGGGTGACGTCTCGCGGTAAGAGGGGAATCACGAGTCATTATTCTAGAATATTAAATTGACTTCCTTATGCCAAAATCTCGCTTGTTATTAACAATTTCGCAATTTCAGACATACGAGGCGGCTCTTCATATTTGCTTCCATCGATTGACATTCTCATAGTAATTAAAATGCGTCTGTAACTGCTTGCTGCAAAACTCGTGGTTTTTATTCACGCGTTTCTCGTATCTTATCGCTGAGCAGAGTTGCTCGTGAGAATCACGGTATTTTACGCTCGGTGTTGATTTAGATGAATATGTTTTAACAAGATGTCTTCTCGCAGCTTGTCATCGCTTTTTCGCGCTTAGCTCTGCCGATTGCGTTTTTTGAGAGTTAATAATATTCTCGGGTGCTCCTCATAAAGCGATTGCACGTGGCAATCGCTTCAATTAGTGGTGCTTTAATTAATGAGAGAGGAAGATTTCCTTCTCTTAACGTTATATACACTACCCCCAAAAAGTTTCCGGACATGGAACTTAAAATTGTATAACATTCACGTCACCGTAACTCGGTAAAAAGTCATCGCAAACAAAGAAATAATATAGCATTTTAAAGTTTGAAAATTATGCTTTAGTATACTTTTGACTGCTTTTCACAAACATTTTGTCTTTATAATTTTGTATCGTAACAAATATCACCTTGTTGTACTTCTTAAAATTACGTACATTTAATAGTGCGCAGTTTGATAAAAAGTTTTTTTTCAAAAAGTTCAATATTATTGAAAAACAGTACAAAGATTTACCTTCAAAATGCTTTTTTAAAAAAAAATTCTTATGATTTTTCTTGACTGAATTACGTGTTGCGTCCAAGGTTCCGCACGCATGGAACCTGAGGGGGTGAACGTAACGGGAAACTTGTCTACCGTCGTTGTCGGATCCTAGCTCCGGACCGCAAGGGAGCGAGGTGGGAAAACCGACTCGGACGGGAGGCACTTCGCTTCGTCCTTAGGCTCTCGAAGAGCCGGGGGTCTGAAGGGGGACGAAGTTGAAGTCTCGCTCGAAGTCGTCACTCCGCTGAACGGTTCCCCGAGGCGGACGCACACGCTAAAGGCCGGGAAATGGGTCAGTGTGCCTTAGGGGAACACTTCTATCCCATATGGGCCAGTACGTCCGAATGCCCTTATTTTCGGCCTTGGAAATGAATTCAAAGGGCCGGGGATTGGACCAAGTGCAATCGTGGTGTGAGCGTTATGAATACAAGGAGATGTTTCTCGAAATTAAAACAATCAGGGTTTAATAGTTACGTGATATAATTAAAATTACGAACTGTCATTACATTATATGTATAGATATACGAGGTGTGATCAAAAAGTAAGGTGACTTTTTGAATTTCGCGCGCTCTGTACACTCTAATTTCAAAATTTTTTTTTGTTGTGTTGGTACACTCGTCACGATCATATGTTCACAGTTTTGAGTTTAGGGATGGGCGATGTTGGAAAAAAAGATCGATGCTAAATTAATCGTTGTTTGAATACATCGAGGTTGAATATTCGATTATTTGTCAAAAATATCGATTAATCGGTTATTTTGAAAGAAGTATTTTTTAATTGTAGAAATGACTTTATAAGAGATGATTTTATAAAGGAATAACGCAAATTAATGAATACATTTTATTTTATTTTTGTCTCTCTCTCTCTCTCTCTCTCCCTCTCTCCCTCTGATAAAATAATTTCTCAGGTTTCAGTTTTCCGAAATGCGGTGCACTTGTAGGTTGATGCTGAAACTATAAATAATTTTCAGAAAAATTATATTATTGTTGCTAATGCATGCTTTTACAACAAACCATAAATGCAGACATTGTTTAATGAACGTATAGTATTTTGGTTAAAGGAAATAATATGTTTTCAAGGAAATAGTTCAAGATGGAAAGTTCTGTTTAATTGGAAGTAATGCATACATAACATTTTCAACTATTTTACATACGCATCTTACACAATACGCAATTAAACATTTAAATAAAATAAATATTTGTAAACCAAGGGATAATCTTGTAATAAAACATAAATCTCACTTTCAATAAGAAGAATAAACAAATTAAAAGCAAAAATAAACAAAACAGAACAGACAAGTATCAAAATCACAGTACAGTACAAAATCACAGAGTAGAGACAAGTAAAATCATTCCATTGTGATTTGTGACACGACCTTATTAGATGAAAAATAATTTTTTTTAAAAATACCGATGTTTAACATAAAAAATCGATGCATCGATGCATCGCTGAGAAGGACATCGAGTGGATTAATCGACTATTCGAAAAAAAACTATCGACCATTTCGATTAATCGGCAAACATCGCCCATCCCTAGTTTTGACTGTATAGCATGTGTTGTTTTTATGTGAGAGGCATAAAGGTTAGACTCGTGTTTGCGTGCTCGGCGATTTTTTGCTGTTGAAAATAATGGAGCAGAGAGTTT